TATGATTGTTTCTGGAGCACCACAGATAGAAAACTGTAATGCATTTCAACACTGGTTCATCTAACTTATTTCAGTACAAGAACAAAATAGTCTTTCAACTGTGAATTTATTTTTCCCATCTCTGCTAGTGTTATATGGGCAGGTACAAAAAATTATCCAGGTGCTAATTGAAGTAGCTGCGATACTGTTTACAAAAAATTCTAATTGGACCCTGCATTGACCTAAAATCAGAGCATGTTCTCACAGAACAGTGGAGGCAGGAAGGCACTGCTGAGATCGTCCAGTCCAACCCCTCTGCTCGAAGCAGGGTCACCTAGAGCCAGTTGCCCGGGACCGTATCCAGTCCAGTTTTGCGTATCTCCAAGGATAGAGACCTCCAAGCCTCTCTGGACAGCTTGTTCCAGTATTTGATCACTCTCAGAGCAAAGTAGTTTTTTCTTATGTTTAAATGGAATTTCTTGTATTTCAATTTGTGACTCTTGTCCTTTGACTGGGGACCACTGAAAAAAGCAGGTCTCCATTGTCTTTGCACCCTCCCTTCAGGTATGGATAAGATGCCTCTGAAGTTCCTCTTCTCCAGGCTGAGCAGTCCCAGCTCTCTCAGCCTTTCCTCCTATGCGAGGTGCTCCAGTCCCTTAGTCATCTTCATGGCCCTTTGTTGGACTCTTTCCAGTATACCCATGTCTCTCTTTACTGGGGAGCCCTGACCTGGACCCAGCACTCCAGATATGCCTCATTAGTGCTGAGCAGAGGGGGGAGAATCACCTCCCTCAAGCTGCTGGCAGTGCTTTTCCCAGTGCAGCCCAGGAGGCTGTTGGCCTTCCTTGCTGCGAGGCGCGGGTGCCTTGCTGGCTCATGCTCATCCTGGTGTCCACCAGGACCCCCAAGTCCTTTTCTGCCATGCTGCTTTCCAGACTGTTGGCTGCCAGTACCTTCTGGGGAATGGGGCTGTTCCTCTCCAGGAGCAGGGCTCTGCACTCCTTTTTGAACATCAACAGTAAGCTTGAAAAGGAATTGGTAATGGGTAACATTTATGGTGCAGGTTACAATGCAGTTCTCTTAGTGGCTGGTGAAAAGAGCTGGTTATCAGATATTTTGTATATAAAATATTTGTATAAAATTTTGTGCTTTCTCAGAATATGTAAATATGTTATATAAATATTTTCACAGAAGATATGATGTTGGACAGAATTTAAACTGCTTGGATTATATAGCCCCTCTGAGCAATGCATTAGCAATTCCACAATTGCACTAATTGACTGCAAAGCCATTGCACTGCTCAATAGCAAAGTCATTAAGCCTACCAAGATCTTTCCATCTCCATTTAGATATCTGGCTGTCTCAAGTACTTTGCACTACTCTACCAATCAGCCTCCTTTAATTCTTTCATGAAATTAAGCTTCTGTTAGAACTGGGAGGCTTACCTCTGAGCTGATTGCAAAACTCACGTTTCAGAATAAAAGTGCAGTAAAGCTTTTTTTTTTTCCTCCAGGAAATTTTAAATTAGAAATCCCTAGGCATTCTCTGTTGCAATTAAGTTCTATCCAGCTGTCGCTGATACCATCTGAAATGTTCTGGTTATTTAGCTGGTTTTTATCTACATTACTGAAATTGGAATATCGTGTTCACTTAAGAGCAGATCCTGAGCAGCGAAGCAAAAGTCGATTTCTTTTGATTTGTCTGGACTTTATAAAGCTTAGTAACACTTTGCTATAGAAATTCAGAAGGCTTTGTTGTTTTCAAAGGAGGGCAGAATGTGATGTGGTGTATTGGTGCTATCCAGCCCTCTCTGTCTGCTGACGGTGGTGATGTGAGCTTGCTCGGCACACTCTGGGAGGATGCCTCAGCTGCAAATTAGAGAGAATACCTGGGGATTAAATGCTTGTGCTTGCTCTGCCCTTAACTCCCGCTGCCCGTTAGAAAGAGGTGTGTACTTCATGATTTGGCTTTCTGTGATCAGTACCCCGATCTACAAAGAACGAGCTCGGTGTGCAGGGCTGTCGAGCGTGAAAGGGAGCAATACGCCATGGCTGCACAACGTGCCTTGCTGAGGTCTTGCACCGTGACACCCCCCTCCCCCAGGAGAAATGGTGAAGAGCTGACAGGCAAGGCGATGCTGCCCTAGAAAAGTGGAGCAGCTTCTCCTGTGCTTGTGTGCAGGTGTTTGCTGTCTAGGGAAAGTCCAGTGCTGCCTGCAAGTAGAAGAAGGGTAGTTGGTGGAGAGGGGGAGCCGCATCGACCAGCTGAGGTTTCGCATCTGAAGGTCCTTAGCTTATTCTATAGCATTTAATTTTTGGTTGATATCCTGAACTGCTTCTTGCAGTTTAGTATACATATCTATTATTTTAAGGTTGTATAGGTAACTGTTGCAGTTGCATGCGATACAAGTATTCATTAAATAATCTGAGGCCCAACTAAAATGCTGCAAAATGATTATTTCCAGTGTGTGTTTATCTCGCATATTTTAATACCAATTTTCTTCTGTTTATCTGCAAATCCAAATGAAAATAAATTTCCTGGCTTTGAGAGCATCTTAATGATCCTGCTCTTAAGCAGGTGATTTTTGGTTAGTCAGAACATGGACTGAATCTGGAAAGTGTGTAATGAAGGCAGGGTGCTAAAGTTTATGAAAGTACCTAAAGAAAGAAATAGCAGCAAAAGATCGTGGCACTTTTAATACTTTTCCACAAATGATTTATTATTTGCTCATGTAAGTATGGTGTGAAAAAAAGTTTAATTTTAGTATACAACGTTGAATTTTCCCAACCTTAGTCTGTGTACTGTATCTGAAATCTGCTAGAGGTGAGTTTGTGCATGTAATTACAAGGATTTAGGCATGGAAGTTACTGGACTGGAATCACCAATTTAAAAAAAAAAAAATTTCCATACCTGTTTCATTTTAAGGAGCATAGAAGAGAAGGCTGGACATCTTGCACAGAAATGCTTACACAAGTCGACTGAATTATCAAGTTGTTTATTTATGTTCTGTTGGCATTAGGTGACCCAGTTAATACAGAGTTATCCTTAGAGGTGGGAAGAGAGGCTTGTTACAGACAGAGGCCTGTGACTAAATCAGAAAAGCCTAAGCTACCTTGATTAAATAACCCATTGCTGCTTTCCTTTCCCATCGCTTTTCAGCTCCTCCAAGGGACCACTATACCCAGTTCTAGGTCAGTGAGACCGTGTGAGCTCCACGGTTTGGTCACAGGGGCAGCCTCCCAAGTCATCTTTCTGCCCCTCCTGCCATTCCCTGCCTCCTTGTGTTTTCTTCTTACTGACGCCTTTGTAAAACATTGTTTTTACAATGAATTGCTTTATTAAAGTGTGGTCTGAGACTGGGGATATGTTGTGGAAATGACAACTTAGAACAATTTGCAGTGTGCTGTAAACCAAGTCATCATATGGGAGGAGCAGGTGTGGGGTGGAAGGTGGCTGCTGAGAAAGCTGGGGCAAATCCCTCCAGAATTGGTGAGCTGCAAGCTCAGAGCTCAGCTGGGAGCTGGGTGCTTGCTGGATTTAGGCTTTCTCCTGCACCCTGCGTGGCCCAGGCTTCAGAGACAGCAGCGTTTGACGGCAGAGGACGGCCATGGAGCCCATCCACATGTCCGGACAACTGTGTTTTGCTCTTTGTAAGAAAGTGATAAATGTGGGTGCTGCAGAGCAGGGCTTCTGATTCATGTGCCTGCTTAATAAATCAAATAAAATATGTCAGAGAGAAGGCTGGGGTTCTGTTCTGTCATCTTAACCCAAGCAATTTTTGTACCAGATGTGCGTTCGCTGCACCTGAAATGTATTCCTAGTCGGTGGGAATAAGGAAAAGGCTGAGAGTCAGAGGCCAGCGCTTGTGGGAGCCCAGGCAAGGCGGACTGCCGTGACCAGGCGCTTGTGTAGTGGGGCTGAGAGACTAAATCAAACAGCGACAGGAAGAGGGAAGATGGAGAGGCAGAGCAAGGTGTGAGAAGCTGGCTGTGAGGTTCGTACGAAGGCACTGCAAACCCTTTTGCACAAGTGTTCCTCTGCTTGGGCAAAAAAAGAGTACCTGTGAAAAAGGGTCTCTGTGCGCACTTCGGAGTTGCTGGTTTTGCTGGTAAAGACGTTGCTCTGTATTCTGGCAGATTTGCAGTGCAAGTAATTAAAAACAAATAGCAAAACCTAAACAGATCAAAACTCATCTCTTGGTCACTATGGCAACTGTGAGTTCACTCATGGATTTAATTCTGCGTGCACTGTCTGAATTTCAATGCCCTTGTCTTAGGGATGGTTTACACTTGAAAATGAGGAAAGCACAGTTTAGCTGAATTTCTCAAGTCTGTTTTTCTCCAAGGGAATTAAAGATAGATCTGTACACTAAATATTGGGCTGGAGGAATAGTCTATTAACAGCACATTTTTTAAAGCCGAAAGCTGCAGACAGCTAAGAGAACTTTTTATTCTAGTTTGGTGTTTATTTATTTTAGTTGCAGAGTTACTTCACTCTCAGTAGCAAACCCAAAGTAAAACTGCTAGGAAATGTGGGGTTTTTCCCTTTTCCAAGGTATAGCAGCACTGGAACTTCCTCCTTCGCCTTGAAGTAACAGAGAGAATGGCTGTCTGTGAAACAAGTACTTTTGTTTCTGTACCAAGTTAATAGGAATATATTTATCATGGGGATAAATCTTGATTGTTATTTATTTATTGTACTTTTCAGGTGCTGCTAAATCCAGTCCAGCTTCTAAACCAGGATCAACACCTTCTCGCCCATCTTCAGCAAAAAAAGCTGCACCAAGCAGCTCAGCATCCAAATCAGATAAAGATTTGGAAACTCAAGTCATACAGCTCAGCGAACAGGTAAATTTGCTCTAGGCATAAAATTAGATGCATTCACTGTCACAGGCAGGCATGAAATCTAATATTGCCTTCTGTTGAATGGTGCTCTCCAGAATTATGAGGGGACAAAAGATTGAAATAGCTCAGCTGGGAAGAAAAAAGTGATTTGTTGTTAAAAATAACGTCTGACAGGGATGACTGGTGTTTGCCAGTATTTTTAAAAGGTGATCTTAGGAATGACAGGTGGTAAGACTTGCTCAAGTATGATAATTTTATTAGGTTTTTTGAAATATATCTTTTATTTCACTTGGATAGGGAAAATTCCAAGAGTGTCTTTGCTCTTGTGTATTACAAATTTGAAATAAATCATTTTAATGTGTCATTATGGAGAAAACATGCCTGTTTGTAATACCAAGGTGTTAGAGATTTGCAACTGAATGGAGACTAGCTCATTGCACTCTGCTTTCTGGAAGGAAGGCATTAAGAAGGTAATATGCCTTTTTCATGTAAAAATGTGACCTAGCTTTGTGAGAATACTTAGTTGTATTATAAATAATGTTCTGCAATATAATCAATAAAGCTTCAGAATTTCTTCAATGTTAGGAATGTAAGGGCTTAATTTTCATTTATGCTATGGAGCTGTACATCACGCTGTCATTCCTGGACATGCAAGAGTGTTTGCACTGGACATGAATAAATATCTGCATCTGGCTCAAGACTGTGCTGTCAGAGTGGTGTAAATGCTACTAGTATAGTAGGAGGCCTGATCCCTGTATTTGGTCCTGGACAAGGGAAAATGGAAAGGAAAAACCTCACAGAGTCTGAGCTGCCTGGCAGCTGCATTCAGGAGGAAGTCGTTACTCTGGATCAAGTATAATTTTCCACAATTAAAGACATTTCAATTTCAGACTTTCATTGACCTGAATAACAAAGATTCCAGTTTGTTGGGGCACTGTTTGCAAATTCTTGGTTACTGTTATGCATTTAAAGGTGGTGAATGGATAGCCACATCTCAAACATGGCATGCTGTGGATTCAGGGTGTAATTCTGAGAAGCAGAGACCACAACAGGGTCTGCCAGCCTTCCAAACAAGCTTTTGATTGTTGCTGTGACAGAAAAGTTCTTAAATGTTGCACAAGGAATGGATGTATGTATTTTTCATGGCATTTTTTTTTAATCATTGTAAGAGTGGAGTTCAAACGTCAGCTTAATGCAACTTAAACCATGACATTTGTACTCAGAAGTCAGAACGTGTTCACTTCAGTAGGAAGAGTTGGTTGGGGTCTGAGCAACATAAAAATATTTGATCTTGACTAAAATAGGCAGTCACTATCGCATCCACTGTCAATGTATTCCTAGCACGTTCCATGTGTGAAAACTTTTAAGCTTTATATACAAATAACCCTGAGGGAAAACTGATGATTTCCCCTATCACCAAAGAGGAGAAGAAATGTTGAGGATGTGAAAAGTTGGTGTTTTAATAACTAGTTTTTGAGACGCACATCTTCTAGCTAGAATGGTCTGGAAGGCTTTTTTTTTTTAATGCTGGCAGCGCTTGGTATTTCATTTCCCACTAATGGTTACTTGTGCACCCTGGGCATATAACATGAGCCAAAAAAGCTATGCTGCAAGCAGCCCTGAGCCAAGCTTTTCTGACCCCCAGTCTGAACATGCTGGAAGAGCCAAATTGCCTGTTTTTACCACTCTCCAGCAACCAGGGAGATGAGGGCAGCAGCCACTTTTACCCCTTTGCTGTCTTGATCATGAGTAAGAAATGTTGAGTGGTGTCTGTGGATATCAAATTCCTATGTGGCTGTAACAGATACTTTTTTCAGCCCTTTCATGGATGGCAGCTAAGGGAGGTTGAAACATCTGAACTTCCATGCAATTTGTAGTGGAAAAAATTAAGTAGTGGGTCTGTCTGTACACTATATTTTACCACAAGGTTGCTTAATGAGCTATTGGCAATAATCATAAGCCATCCGTAATATTTGCTAGTTTGATGGCTCCCAATAATCGTAAAGTTTCTCTTAAAATTATCTTAGCTTTGCCTTGGTCTGTGCTAGTAAATTGAACACTTCCAAGGAATGTCACTGTGTGCTGGAACTCAATTACCCATAACATTAAAATGCTAGAGTGGTCCCTGCTGTGGTTTTGGTCTGTGCCAGCTAACACTCTCCCAGAGAGCTGCTGATTGCAGTTAAGGAGACAACACAGACCAGGGACCACTAGATATGGAGAATGGTCCCAGGAACTGTTAACTGTATGCTAATATACACATAGTTTCTGCAAACAGCACCATCTTGGCTGCTTGTCTACCGTATATACTTAATCTCCATCCTGGTTCTGCAGTCCTGTGAGTTTTCATACTACCAGTAAGTGCCATCAGAGAAAAGACCAGTTAGTAAGAACTGTTGCCTCTGCACCCATTAACTGGGTTGCAGAGGGTTACTTCTGGTGCAGGAACAGAGCACGGGAGTTAACATGTACCGTTGCCCATACAGGATTAGCCTTTTGGTATGTTCGCAGCAGGGAAAGTAGCACGTGAATGTGCCGATTACCTGAAGAAAAAACAAATTAATATGTCACAAATAGCTGATATGTAACTGAAGAAAAGAAAGTATTTGGTTTCGTTATAACTGTTTACCATATATTGTAGTTAATTAACTATGTGCATATGTGCATAGTTTAATGATTCCATTTCTTAAAATGGAGTGAATCTATAGCATGAAAACAGGCAAATGCCTTCATAGTAAATAGGTCAGAAGGGGAGACAGTCTGAGCTACCAGCTGCCAATGTTTAAGCTGAAGTTCATTGTTTTTCCAAGCTCTAGCAAGCACAGAGCAAGAGATCTAGGAGCAGTTACGTTCTTGTTGTGTCAGGATGCAGGTGTTCCTCTCAAGGAATATGCTGCTGCAGATCCACAAGACATGTCTTAAATGTAAGGTCTTCATCTATAGACCAAAACATTGTAAACTCCTGTTCCGTTTTGCTATTCCTACTTTCATGAATAAACAGTTAATTTTAAGGTGACCGGTCATTGTATCAATCATAGATTCAAACTGTCAAGGGAAGACTTGGGTGTCAAACTCAGGCTGCTGGTCAGAAACAGGTTAGTACGTGAATGAGATGCTCTGAGATCCGGCCCTGGCAACCGGTCAGTTCTGCTGACTGACACCTCTGAGGATGCAATCAAGGGTCAGAAAAAGGCTTTGCTAGCTCAGCAGTTACGGAAAAATGAGCTGATAGGATTTAGCAGGCTGTCAAAGCATTGTTTGAACTCTGCTGGTATTTTTACTAGTGGAGGGAATAAATAAGCTTGCAGCAGAACTGGCAACACAGAACTTTCTATTAAATTGTATCAGTTCACTGAAATGTAGTCTGATGCAATTTAATTTATTTAGCATGTTTTATTTAGAAAATAATTTGTATAATTGCAGGCCTTAAAATGTGGATGCTAATTTGGCTGTAATTTGGACGTGATTAGGGTCAGTGTGTTTACTGTAGGCAGCTTCATCTATGATTATTTCTGTTGGTTATTACACAGCTGTCTTCCAAATTTGAGAGCCACTTACACATTATCCTGATTGTGTATATCCCATTGGACAGTGGTTTATCTGTTATGCTCCCACAAAATTGTTCTTTTTTAAATATATATGTGTATGTGTGTATATGTATGTATAAAAATATGTTGCAACATCTGTCATGATTTATATGAAGCCTAATCATTACCAGCTATGTTGCCCATAAATGATTTGCAGCAGTCCTGGTGGTGAAATTGAGACTGACAGTATAGCTTGAAGACTCTTGTGAACAAGGTTGCAAAGAGAAAGATACTTGGCATTTGAGAGAATTTGTTGATAGAAACAGCACATCAGTTGGAGCAGAAAGTCCGTGGCGCAGCCGGCCACGGTATCAGGGTGTCAAAACGCAGGTCTCTAATTGTACGGCAAGTGGGGAGGCAGCAAAGAGGAGAGGTGAAAAAACAACACACCTTTCCAACTAGCGGACCTTTTAATTTCCTAACTAGACCGTTTCCCTTTGTGAGCTTTTCTGCTAGATCCACGGATTTTTAGAGCAAGGAGATATTGTAGGTTTCCCAACAACTGCACATTAATCCAGGCAAAATGATGCAAGTACTGAGCTTAAAGTTTTATTAATTACTATTACATGACACTTCTGGCAGCTTTGTTAGAAGCCAAGTCTTAATTAGCCCTGATTCCTGAACTGCTGCTTTGGGTTTCAATATAAAAGAGCAGTGAGAAAACTGACCTTTAACGATCAAGGTTAAGATTCATCCAAGAGGTGTAATGGGGGAGCCTGATTTATTACTGTCTATTGTGTAAGATTCAGTCTAGCACCTAAAAAAAAAAAAGTGGGCTTCATTTTAAGCTATAAAATTGAATATATATTTAAGATTGTTTAGCATGCATAATTTTAGACTGAGTTGTTCTGTCTGTAGTGCACCTCACAACTGATGCTTCGCATCTTGGTTTATATGCAGGTACATTCGTTAAAACTTGCACTTGAAGGCGTGGAGAAGGAAAGAGATTTCTACTTTGGCAAATTAAGGGAGATTGAACTTCTCTGCCAAGAACACGGGAGAGAGAATAATGACCTTGTCAATCGGCTAATGGAAGTCCTTTATGCTTCAGAAGAACACGTAAGTTGAAGCTTAATGTCTTTTATTTAGACAAAACAGCTTAATTTCATAAAAATTTATTGGTACAGTATTGGGTCATGTCCTATATTTAGGTCAGCAAAACTGTTGCAGCTAGGATTTCCATGCCTCCTCCCCCAAAAAGGAAGTTTGCATTTGCAAACAACAGACTTTTCAGCTTGGGGAAGGGATTCAGGAGGCCAGTTGCTTTTCACTGCTTCAGCATAGGTTTTGTAGTCTACATTTGCTGAACCTGATCTGAAAGGGGAGGGTGCATGTCACAATTTTAAATTGATTTCATATGGTTCTGAGCCTTAGTTTTGTTTTTTCCTCTTCTGCCTTTCTGCATAAAGTCTTTTACTCGTGGTCCTTAACATGTTGAAAGTCTCAGAAATTCTGACAGAGGTGCTGTTCAATGTCTACAGCTGTGAACCTTCTCTAGCCCATGTGGCAGTGTTGCAATATGTATGGTGCAGGTTGCCAAATACATAATTACATCTGCAGAGATAATGCTCTTTAGCATTTTTTTATCCTGTTGCTATAGGCAAAATTCTTCCTTGTGCAAACCCAATAATCCTCTATTACCAAAATTTCAGCAATGTATTGTCTGCAAGATTAAGCAAGAATCTCATTGCACCTTAAACTTAGTGCTGTAGACACTGGACAAAGCAAGAGGTTGCAAAGGGTGCTGGTTAAATTCCTCAGATACATTCAGGGATAATGATTCAGTGGAGATTTAGCTGAACTACTCCCATTCATGTTAACTAAATCCCTGTATGCACTGCACTGATGATTGACCCGTCAGTCTCCAGCGGACGACGTGTATAAGCATCAACTTAATCTCGGCAGCACTGTGGTACCGTAGGCTGTCTTATATCTGTTCCCAGAAAGCTGTTGTAGCAGTTGTCAGCTGACTTAACATTTCATATCAAAAGTAGTGGCAAAGCAACTCCTAACTCACATGCTTTTCTAAAAAAAGACTAGTAGGGTGTAAATGAAAGTTAGGTGCAAGAAGGGCCTGAGGTTGCTGCTGACAGGGGCCACTGCTCAGATGAGAAGTGACGGGGGAAAGAGGATTTGTTCATCAGTGCGGGGTGAGTGCTAGAGAGGAAAAGGAGGAGGAAACCATTATTTTCTCAGGAATAAACAATAAGACAAATTTGCGAGGCATGTGATAACAGGCTAAAAGAATTACATATATATAGCGGTCAGAGAAAACAGAACAGTGATTTATTTATAAAGCAAAGCCAGAAAAATCCCTCTTCTCCCCATACCCCTACCACATCTGTCTGTCTGTTGGCTTAACTAGCAAGTGATTCCCTGCCAAGGAATGCATTTGTTGCTTTTCTTCCTGCAGTTTTCCTTAATGGCAGAACACATTACAAAATGTTATATTTCAGCCCACATCCCAGTGTTTTATCTGCTTCCTCTCTCCAAGCCTTTCTCTGTTGAAAGCATCATCCGTGCCTTGAACTACATATGACGACCGTGCCTTTATCAAAAATGTGTTCGGAATTGGAGGCCAGCTACGTCACTGCAGCAGGAGAGCACTTCTTCTTTACCTTTTAGTGGGAGACTTGATGATCTCATCTTCTGGGGTGCATTTCTTCCTCAGCAGATGGACAGTAATTTGCTGAGGAGAGACCCCAATGCATTAGCATTCGACCAAAGACTGTGGTTCCCTTACTGATTCAGATCCTGCCTACTTTTTGTTTTCGGACTTTGCTGTCTCATTGCCCTGCCTTCACGTCTCTTTTTTTCTGTCTCTGTAATGAATTTGTCCCAATTTAAATTCTGTATCTTGCAGATTTTTGCAGGTTAATCCCTCACTAAAAGCAGTTTGGCTTTCCCAATCCCTAGATGGAAAATAGCCTCAATTCCCAAATCACAGGCAACCCCAGCGTTCCTAGTTTCTTTCTAATGAGTTCATTGTAAATCCAGCTTAGATTTTTTTTTTTTTTTAATCTCTGTTTCAGAGTGTCTTAAGTATACAGAGGCAAAGTGGGGAAAAAAAGAAAGGATTACATTAATTTTCAGGATTTAGCGCATTTATAAATGATAAAGGCCATGCGGCTTTTCTTCAAGAGGAAGATGTGCAGTGATGCAGCTCACACATACAAGTGATCCCTGACCAAAGCCTTGTGCTTCAATATTGTGACTAACTTAAATTTGTTTTCAGTTCATACTTTCCATAACTGCTCAATAGCAATCTCAAACTCTTCCATCCTAGCTGTAATTTGACGGGCATCTACTGTATTCAACATGGCATAGAGATCATGTCCTATTTTTCATACCAACTGTTCTTATTCAGAAGGGACAAGTGTCCCTTTATACTTAATTTTCTGTTATGCTTAATTTAACCCTCCTAAAAGAAAAATTAAGAAAAGAAAAAACTCTGGACAGCACTTTAAATGGTCACATGTCCCAGTAGCTCATAGGTCCCCCGTGAGCATTGTAGGCTGTCAGGTGAATTCTGTGTAGAATGATTCACAATCCAAGTATACAGTTAAGAAAAGCGTTCTCCAGAGGTTTGATTATTGTAGTATTGCATTGAAGAGACTTTTATCGAGTTCACGTTGGGGGTGGTCAGAATTCCAAGTCATAGTGTAGTTTCAACCATGTCACTTCCTAAACTTCTTTTTTGTTTAATTCAATAAAGGCTGAATTTTTAAGGCTTATTATTATTAATTTTGGTGAGCACAAACATCAGTCCATTTGGGTTCCTTGTTTTTAGAGACTCCCTTTTCTCTTCCCGGTTACAGTTCTGGTTTAAACCTCATCATTATGTCTCTGCTTATGCAAGAGGGATGTTGTTGTATCTGTTGGCGTCACTTAATGTTTGGCTGATCAGTCTGTAATCCTTTGTAATTTTTAATCACAAATTGCTCATTTGTAATCCTGCTGCTTCATCAAAAACATCAAAGTTGACAGAGAACGGTGTTAAAAAAGGATACATTTGGGTGGGGGAGAGAAATGGCCCCTAGCACTCATGCTGTGACTGCTGTGGACACCACTGAGACCTCAGATAGTATGTAAAGCATTTGGCCGTATGGTCTTAGAGTAGGAGAGCTTCAGGCTGATGAACCAGAAGAGGCTATGTGTCTAGTTACGAAACCCGGAGCCATGTAGGTCTTGGCATAAAGCAAAAATGTAGGAAAGGTTTTGCTTTCCTACGTAGGCTGTTCTGGTTCAGTTCATGCAGAAGTTGGGTGCATTGCTGCTGTTTGATCTGTCAGTTGCTCAGCTCAAGTTTCCAAAGCAATTGCTTGAAATGCAGCTGGTTTTGTATCTTTCTGCTCTAGCAGCTACTACGTCTGCTGCTGCTCTTGGAAAAGGCACCCCCAGCTGGTTTTCATAAAGTCTAGCTTTTCAGTCTACAGGCACACCTGAAAGGTTTGAGGCAGATGTCAAAGGGTCAAAAGAGAGCACCTCTCTTTGTGGGAGACAGAGATGATGATGGTTGTGTGATCTGAGCCAGAAATAAATGCTCTAAATAGATCTTCCACTACTTTCCTTATTCGGGGATGCTATTCAAGGAGATTCCACAGTCCCAAGGTAATTGGGCATAGGGACTCTTGTCTTTCCCATTTCACATATTTATACAAGCTGTACATACTGAGAAGCACGTGTCCAAGTCTCGGAACAATTTCTGAGGTAGTCACATAAGATTTACCATTTCCATCAAAGGTAAGCCTGGCAAGAGAGGAGCCACCACTCTTCTTCAGAGCTGCAGAGTAGGTTCCCAACCCACTCCCTGTGGTTAGAGGCTTTTCCTATTATATGCATGAAAGGATAGCATGTATGTGACCTATAAAATCTGCCTGAGTGGGCTTTCTCATAGGTGTATCTCATAAACTCTGCATACATAGAGCCTATGGAACACGTGCATTCCAGAGCAGGTCATCTCAGCACATCAGGAGGGTCAGGATAGATGGGGTTAAGGGAACATAGCTCACTGCAGCTAAACAAGCTTCAGTTTTCTCACCCTGTAAGGCAGGGTCACGTTCTCACAGCTGTCAGCTTCTCTCTGTGAAACTCCAGTTCTCTGCAAGTCTTGCACCCTTGCAGCCCATCGCAGAAGTTGCGATTTTTAGATGCTACACAAAAAGCTGTTTTGACACCATGTACCTACCGTGTGTAATAGGGGTGTCATTCCCCCCAAGGGGCCGTAAGGTGCTAAACTGCAGTTGTCCCGACTGACATGTGTGGCTGCTACCTGAAAATCTCACCTGAGTGATAGAAAGCTTGCTTTTCATTGGAATTTGTTTGTATATGTGGTAAACAGCTGAATATTTCCACTGTATCAGCAATGCTAGGAACCTTATTCTCCTGTTCTTGCCTTTTAGAAATATGGATATTTTATTGCCAGAAGGGAATTTTCTTATTGCATAAGCTACTCTGAACTATGCTGGGAAAACTCCAGTGATGGCTTCCCTTTTCTTTGAAATTTTCCCTCAAATTTGAAAACTTAGCAGTTTCAATTTGTTAAAAGTTCGTTGTTCCAGCTGCTCGCTTCTAACGAAACTTGCTGGGAGCCAGGCGAGTTGTGCGGAGGTACGCATCAGGGACGCTGCGTTTTGAATGGCAGCTCAGTGTCTTGGAAAAGTGTTTTCCTTTGGAGCTGCCTACAGCGGAGCGCTACTAATGCAGGGGAGAGAGTAGATGTGTGGGATCTTTTCGGTGAACTGTGCTCCAGAAAGATGGAAGCCACTTGAGAGAAAAGCTGTAAATGCAGCTGTGCTTAATGGGAATACAGAAGTAATGCCCTAAGAGTCAGCCAGCCTTCTTGAGCTCTGATAAATCCAGGCCAACTCAAGATACCAGGTCTGTTGTCTCTAAATGGGAAATTGTTTAAAACTGGTATCACCTGCAGAGAGGATCCAGCCTTCCTTTTGGTCAGGGATTCTTCTCGCACTGGCAATGTTTATTCGGAGAGACAGCTCTGGAAAATACTGTGCATAATAACCGTTTGCAAAAGGGAAGTGTTTATTGGTAATCAGTGCTTTTAACAGTAGCTCTGTAAATCAATGAATACCAGGCTTAATTTTTTTTTTTTTCCAGGAAAATATGTTTGCAAGTCTTTGGTTATATTTTCTGAATATTGCTAAAAATTGTTTTGGTAACCTATGAACTCTGGTCCAGCATCGGTGTATTATTTTGGGAAACGAGTATATCTGACATCAAAAAGGAGGCCGAGTTTAATTTTTAAAGCAGATGATAGCAAAAGTGTCTTGTCCATTTAGTGATATAAGCCTAGAGTGAAGATTGTGTGAAAACTACAGCAGACAGGTTCAGAAATCCTTGGACAAACTGAAAATGGGAGGACATCAGGATGCAATGATACAGCATCTCTCTGTGGAGCATCTCACTGTCTAGCTATACCAAGTGTTCACTTACCGGAAGAATTAACATTCAGTGATGTTGAGAACTGACGCTTGTCCTGGAGAAGTATCAGTACTGCATATACATTGATTAGAAGCAAAGTAAATGCATTTTATTGTAATACTACAAGATGCTGCTTTCCTCAGGTTACAGCTCATTTTGTACTTATGTGCATGAAAATTAGCAGTTAAGCTTTAGGCTGCGGCAAGCTGTGGGGCGGCAAGATTACATGAGAAATACTTTCTGCTGAAGAATGTTTTGGGGTCTTTTTCTCCCTGCAGGAGAGCCACACAGAAGAGCATGAAGGTGAAGAGCAAGTCCATGAACAGCCCCAGCAGCAGGAGGAGTACTGACTCACCCAGCGTCTCTGACAATTTTCGTTTTGTGTGAGAACTTTCTTCTGGAGAACGGAACATGTGTGGCCTCAAACTTGAAATCAGTTCACTCCCAGTCTGCCATTAACATTTATGTACCATAGTGAGTGCCAGCCAACCACTGCATTCTGTACCCATACTTTGCCAAGATGCATTTGCAGACGTCTTCTTTCAGTGTATCTTCCCAAGAGGTTGTAGGGCTACATCACCTACTGTACATCACTGCAACTTCACCACTTGGCTGCTTTAGATTTGTTCTGCTCTTAAAAAAAATATAT